CTATGTATAATACTGCATTCTAAACACAAGCCCAGACTAGAGATAAGCAGCTGTAAGACTAAACGTCTACATAGAACGTATAACTATATAATAAGCTATAAATATATATAAACTAAATAGAACTTTTAGAATACTGCTATCACAGTGTTGATTGGCTAGAATTACCTATGAACCATGTAAGGGATATAGGTGAAATGAGCTTCTTAAGCCTTAAGTCATCTTCCCCTGGCTTCATTGATACCTCATAGCAAGTTCATTATAAACCATCTATTAGTGATTGCCATTGCTATCAATTCTCAATAATTACGCAATTATTGATATCCAATAGTGATTGCTCTGCTATGGTAATGAACTACTTACTGCACATGCAGTGTCTCTCGTTTAGTATGTGTTAAATAGCCTCTCTCATTTCCTTACACTTACTTGTAAGAAAGCTTTAAACCCAATGCCAGCTAATGCATTTTATTTGCATTACCGGCCAGTTTGTACAACAATAAATTGATTTTAAATTTACAATTTGATATGTATTTACAAAAAAAGAATTTTTCATGGCCTCAAGTAATATATAAGTTGTTCCCTTCCACACATGAAACTAGGAATAAACGCAATGGCTTTATATATGGCCTACACCAAAAAAACTGCATTTTGTCTCATGATCTTTTGTGAAATATCTTCTGTCGTATGCAAACTTTGTATGGCTGCACAAACAACCAACAATCAATGGACATTCTCATATACATAAACAGATATGCACATTAATATTAGCTGAAGTGCATAATATTCTAGTGCACTGATATTACACATAAGTATCCACCTGCAAATAACACATCATCACATACAATGATTACCAGATATATGCACATGCATACACTTATACTAACCTTACTAAAGCTCAAGGGGTCGTTGTCGTATCAGGTACTACAGATATGTACCCGAGGTACATATATGTATACACAAAGTGTACCAGACTTGTACTGCAGAAGTGTACCTTAACCCTAACCCTAACCCTAACCCTAAACATACCTCATATAAAAATATAAACATATTAATACTAAACAACCTAAAACTACCTCGGGTACATATCTGTAGTACCTGATACGACAACGACCCCATCTGCCTTACTAAACGGTACTTACAATTGCCCAGATAACAGTGGCAGGTTTAAGTATGTGGTTGAAGCTAAAGATCGCCATTCCAAGATATGCAAACACACAAGTTTCTGAAATTAAGAAAGGAAATGGCAACGTTGCTTGTATGTTACAGACACTACATGTAAACAATGATGGGATCTCACAGACTGAAGCTCACCTTATGTATAAAAAATAGATGCACACTTTTCCAAGTGGCTGCCATATTACACCATGCTTGATTAACGAGTTCAGCCATGGTGGATGTAAATTGCAATGCAGTCACTCTGCCCCAAATATTTCCTCTCATAGTAGGTCTTAGACTTATTTAGTGCCTTCGGTGACATTCTAAAACCGTCCTCTGGCTACACGACATTACCTGCCATGAAGGACAATGTCCTGAATGTTTGCTGGACAGTGATTTGAGTCACCGGTGACAAGTTGTAATGAGTGTAATGTGACATCACTATACCGCAGAACAGAATGGCCATGATTCCTGCAATATACATGCGGACGAAAATCGTTAGTGCAATATAGTTCTTTACATACCAATTACTTTTACTAATAGTAATATACTTTTTGTTATAACAGTTATAACAGTAATAAAAGTTTTTTTGTCATGATAAAAGCAACAGATTTTAAGCAACAGACAGTTAAAATATCAATCACTGAATCAGGAGCCTGATTAGTAAATGATCAGTTTATTCAGGGACATTTTCAGAAGTTCTGCCCTCAAAAATAAAGACGACAAGGTGGGTTGGTTTAAAAATGTCAATGATTTAAACACACCCCATCATAAAATGTGTAGTATTACCCACAGAATCTGCACAGTTGAAGGAAAAACTGTGATGACAAGATATATAGTATTGATTTCTGTTGCACATTCGGCTGTATTGCACTCTGTGAAGCTGACACTAGCCAGATGTGTGAATGTAAGAGCTGAACCCTCTGATATACTCCTGAGCTGAAGCTTTATATATGTTCTAACATGGTTAACATATGGATCAATGCAGCCTCATAAGCTCAATCACTACACAAACGAAGGATCGTTCACAAAGAAGCTATCTCGTTACCATTCTGAGGAACAGGCACGTACGTTACACACACACAGAGAATAGCACTAGAGTCATAACCACTTTGTGTCATCCAGTACATATAACCTCACCATTGAAACGTCTTCATTAATTACCACCATTACCACTCCTCCGATTCATACACCTATACGAGCAAAGTCATTTTAAATCAGCAATTTCCATTTACCCATCTGAATGAGAACCATTCATGTGGCTAGACTAGTCGATATCTATCTTTATATGTAGCAAAAAGACAAAAAGAATGAGTCTCGCTATGCACAGTGGCTAGGTGGTGGCTGGCTCAAATTTGTTCCCATATCTTTAGTGTTGTTATGTTAATACACCAATTTTGGATACACCGCTATCATCAGTTGGCTCCCTATTCTCCTCTTTTCTCTATTTAATTACTCGACTGTTACTTTTACTTACCGAACTATACGATGCAATAGAATTGTTTGGACACCAAATATCACATTATAATGGGGTTCCACTGTACTATACTACCAGGACTGTCATAATATAGATGTAGTATATATATATGTAATATAGATGTAATATATTATATTTATCTGTAATATAGATGTAGTATATAATATATCTGTAATAATCATAGATGTAATATAGATCTATATTATAACACTCCTGTTATTACTATACGTACTACAAATATAGAGGATGCAATGAATTAATTACTCTAATGCTCTGTTTTGTCTATGAAGCCCTTTATCCTGCTTTTAAAGATACCATATAGGATTACCTGATAGATGCAGCCCCTCAGCAAGGCCATATGGAAGATATGAAAATATCATCATGAGTCCAAATTCTAATGACGGTGTGTTCCTCAGATCGATATGCTTCAAAAAGTTAAATGTGTTAAGGACCAATATTGCACGGCTCCCACTTGTAACATACATGCACGTACCTAGTTGTATATCGCTAAAGCTGTAGCTTCAAACACTTAGAATTGATAACGTTAGGGCACCCGTAGGAATACAAAATAATCTATAGCTAATGATCCCTTGTAAAAATATAGCACTTAAACGTCCTACTCGAAATTATACCTCCAAATCTCTGCAGAAAATAGCCTCATTGTATTAAAAGGGTCTACACATGTATGCCTAATGACAGAGAGTCTGAGACCGTTTACTCTTTATATCCAGAGATTAAATAGCTGCATTCATCTAAGCACGACAACACTAGCCAAGACATAATAACAAAAACTGACTGTGACGTTTACTCAACACGATGGTAGTATAGTTATGAAATTCCATCAGCACTCTGCACTGCGGGTGCACGCAACATCCTACCTAGATGTCAATATGTGACCAGAGATCAAATAAATTTTTAGGGCAAGTCTAATGTTGCTTTCGGCATAGCCAAAATTTTCGGGCACCAAGGGAAGTAGGACAAAGTCAGGGGCCAACATTTTCTTCAAGGAAGAATGTTAAGAGCACTCGCTTTTTAACACCATTACTTTACGTGGGGGTAAAAGAGGAATTTATATTCTACGTGGAATTTATCAGAAGGACGTATCATTTTTCCTGGAGACGTGCCAGGTAGGGCATTCAATCCGAGGGGTGAAATACAAGCCCTTCGAGCTCAAACCAAAGACCCGACGAAGAGAGATAATTCTCGAAAGCTCGCATATTAAAATTTAACACCCTATTCCTATTTCATCTAACTTTTATTTTCATATCTCACGGGTGTTCGTGTGTTTTTACTTCAACCCTCAGCTCTTCGGCAGGCCTCAGAGACGACGTTCGTTAAGGATATTAGAGCGCTGACGAGTCCGGTGACGACGCCGATCGCCGCCGAACCGAAGAACATCATGCAGAATGTTCCGACTGCCTGCAGGAACGAAGCGCCGGCCGTCATGTCGGCGTTCTGTGATTTTTCCAACTCCAACACGGTTCTGCAAGCGGAGCACAACTGTTAGATGTTCCGACGACTTGTTATTGTTATTGTACTTTTTAATTCTACCTCTGGTTGCGCACGCACGCACATGTATACACACGCGCGCACACGCTTACACACGCACACACACACGCATGCACAAACGCGGCGTGCGCACGATGACGTGAACGATGACGTGATCGATGACGTGATCGATGACGTGATTGATAACGTGAACGATGGCGTGAATGATGGGGTGAACGATGACGTGAACGATGACGGGATCGATGACGTGATCGATGACGTGATCAATGACGCGAATGATGGGGTCAACGATGACGTGAATGATGGTGTGATTGATGACGTGAATGATGGGGTGAACGATGACGTGAATGATGGGGTGATTGATAACGTGAATGATGGTGTGAGTGATGCCATGAATGATGGGGTGAACGATGACGTGAATGATGGGGTGATTGATAACGTGAATGATAACGTGAATGATGGCGTGATCGATGGGGTGAATGATGGTGTGATCGATGGGGTGAATGATAACGTGAATGATGGGGTGATTGATAACGTGAATGATGGGGTGATTGATAACGTGAATGATGGCGTGAATGATGGTGTGAATGATGGTGTGATTGATAACGTGAGTGATGATGTGAATGATGGTGTGTGTATGCATGTGCGTGTGTGTGTACGTATGTGGATGCGTGTGCATGCATGTGCATGCATGTGCATGCGTGTGACGACGTGAGTAACGCGGCGTGCGCACGATGACGTGAACGACGCCGTCGCCATCGTGCTGACGACGTGAGTAACGCGGCGTGCTGACGACGTGAGTGCACGCCGCGTTACTCACGTCGTCAGCACGACGATGACGTGAACGACGCCGTCGCCATGC